GTATAAAAACCCTGAAAGATAACCTAGGCGATACCATTTAGGACATAGGCATGGGCACAGATTTCATGATGAAGACTTCAAAAGCAGTTACAACAAAAGCAAAAGTTGACAAATGGATCCAATTAAACAAGAACTTCTTCACAGGAAAAGAAACTATCAGCAGAGTAAATAGACAATTTATAGAATGGGAGAAAATTTCTGCAAACTATTCATCTGACAAAGGTCTAATATCCAGCACCTATAAGGTACTTAAGCAAATTTACATGAAAAAAAACAATCCCCTAAAAAACTGGGCAAGGGACATGAACAGACACTTCTCAAAAGAAGACATACATATGGGGCCAATAATCATACTTTAAAAAAAGCTCAACATCACTGATCCTTAGAGAAATGCAAATCAAAACCACAATGAGATACCATCTCACACCAGTCAGAATGGCTATGATTAAAAAGTCAAAAAATAACAGATGCTCGCAAGGTTGTGGAGAAAAAGGAATGTTTATATACTATTGGTGGGAGTGTAAATTAGTTCAACCATTGTGGAAGACAGTGTGATGATTCCTCAAAGACCTGAAGATAGAAATACCATTTAACCTAAGAATCCCATTACTGAGTATATACCCAAAGGAATATAAATCATTCCATCATAAAGACACGTTTGTGTGTATGTTCACTGCAGCATTATTCACAATAGCAAAGAATGGAATCAACCTAAATGACCATCAATGATAGACTAGACTTAAAAAATGTACATATATACTATGGAATACTAGGCAGCCATAAAAAAGAATGAGATCATCTCCTTTGCAGGAACATGGATAAAGCTGGAGACCATTATCCTTAGCAAATTAATTCAGGAACAGAAAACCAAATACCGCATGTTCTCACCTGTAAGTGGGAGCTAAATGATGAGAACACATGGACACGTAGAGGGGAACAATACACACTGGGGCCTATCAGAGGGTGGAGGCTTGGAAGAGGTTGAGGATCAGGAAAAATAACTAATTGGAACTAAGCTTAATACCTGGGTGATGAAATAATCTGTACAACAAACCCCCGTGACACAAGTTTACCTATATAACAAACCTGCACATGTACATCTGGACCTAAAAGTTAATTTTTTTTTTTCAAAATGGGGAAAAAGTAGGCAAAGGATCTGAACAGATATTTCTCAAAAGAAGACATACAAATAGGTACACAAAAAAATGCTCAATATCACTAATCAACCCAGGGAAATGCATTTTAAAATCGCAATGAGATATCTCCTCACACCTGTTAGAATGGGTGTTATCAAAAAGATGAAAGAGGCCAGGTGCAGTGGCTCATGCCTGTAATCCCAGCACTTTTGGAGGCCAAAGCGAGTGGATCACCTGAGGTCAAGAGTTTGAGACCAGCCCGGTCAACATGGTGAAACCCTGTATCTACTAAAAATACAAAAAATAGCCAGGCGTGGTGGTGCACACCTGTAATCCCAGCTGCTCAGGAGACTGAGGCAGGAGAATTGCTTGAACCCAGGAGGCGGAGGTTGCAGTGAGCCAAGACGGTGCCATTGGACTCCAGCCTGGGCAACAAGAGCGAAACTTCGTCTCAAAAAAAAAAAAAAGAAAAAAAAAAAAGAAAGATAACATGCATTGGTGAGGCTGCAGAAAAAAGGGAATAGTTATACATTGTTGTCTGGTATGTAAATTAGTACAACTATTATAGAAAACAGTATGGACGTTCTTTACAAAAACCAAATTAGAACTACCATATGATCCAGCAATCTCATGTTTGAGTATATATCTAAAGGAAATCCAATCAGTATGTTGAAGGTATATCTGTACTCCCATGTTCACTGCAGCATTATTTACAATGGCCAAGATATGGAATCAACCTAAGTACCCATCAGTGAATGCATAGATGAAGAAAATGTGCTGTATATACACAATGTGTTATTATTTAGCCTTTTAGAAAAGGAAATTATCTTGTTCGTGACAATATGGATAAACCTGGAGGATACTATGCTAAGTGAAATAAGCCAGGCACAGAAAGACAAATGATCTCACTTATATGTGGAAACTTAAAAAGTCTGACTCCTAGACATGGCATAGAATGATGGTTACCAAAGGCTGGGAGGATGGGGGAGAAAATGGGAAGTTGTTAGTCAAAGGGTACAAAGTTCCAGTTAGTAGGAATAAGTTTTGAGATCAATTGCACAGCAGTGTGACTATAGTCAATATAATGTATTGTATATTTCTTTTTCTTTTTTTAAGATGGAGTCTTGCTCTGTTACCCAGGCTGGAATGCAGTGGCGCAATCTCGGCTCACTGCAACCTCCACCTCCCAGGTTCAAGCGATTCTCCTGCTTCAGCCTCCCGAGTAGCTGGGACTATAGGCACCCGCCACCACATCCAGCTAATTTTTGTATCTTTAGTAGAGACGGGGACTCACCATATTGGTCAGATGGGTCTCAAACTCCTGACCTCAGGTGATCCACCTGCCTTGGCCTCCCAAAGTCTTGGGATTACAGGCATGAGCCACTGCACCCAGCCATGTATTTCCAGAGTAACCAAGAGTAGATTAAAAAATGACTCACCGCAAAAAAATGATAAGTGAGGTGATGGATATGTTAATTAGCTGGATTTAATTATTCTAGTTTGTGTACATACATGAAAACTTCACATTGTGCCTCACAAATGTATACAATTATGAATTTTCAATGAAAAATAATATTCACTTAAAAAATCCTTTAGTGATTATATTATAGTCATGTAAGAGACTACAAACATTTCCTATTAACATTAGGACAAGCTGGATGAATGGTTTATGGGAACTCTGTACTGATTCTGCAGATTCTCTTTAAGTCTAAAATTGTTTCACTATTGAAAGTTAAAAATATCCTTTTGGCAGCAGTGCAGAGGATGAAGTAGAGAAGTAGGCTGGAGGGGGGTATTGTGGTAATCCGGAGTAAGGAGGGTCTGAAATCAGACCACAGCAGAAGGCCTGGAGGACACAAGAGGGTGGATGAGGGAAATTTAGGAGTGAGAGGAGGCAGGATTCAGTGACTGGATGAGGTTTGGAGATGGAGCCATTACAGAGACAAGGCTTGCTTGAAGTGATAATATTCTTCCTTTAGCAGGAGAAAGAAGGTTAACTTTGAACCAGATGTGAGATAAGACCAAATGTTAGTGGGTGTTTGAAGAAGTCGAATGACTCCCTTCTGGTTGAGTAAGATTTTCAAGTGAAGTGTAACTCAGTGTCCAGCCCTCTACCAAAAGGGAATACACAGCAGGACTACTGCTTTCAAGACCAGAGGAGGTGGCCAGAGCTTTTTATGTGAGCATCATGAATTTGTGTATGAAGTAGAAAGAGTGTGAGTGGAGTCACTAGACCCTGCAGAAGCTCACAATTTTTCAGGCATGTGATGTTTCGTGTAACTCTGAATCTTTCTTTGAAAATGGCTGAATTTATATAGTAGCCTTAAGAAAGATTCATGAAATGAGTGTTTTGTTAAACTTTAGTCTCAGAGTGTTAGTTCTAAATGATTCCCAGCCCTGGGTAAAATCCCATAATGTTTTTTTTTTCTTTATCATTTGATCAACTGCAGTGACCCTAAAGCTATCAGCCAGATTGAATTAGAGGGTTACTCTTCCTCAAGGAAGGCAGGTGGAAACACACTGTACAAAGCCATTTCTCAGGGATAATTTATTTTCTCCTTTAATTCATGGCTGGCTATTTGATGGTAAGCTAATTGGCTGAATGTGAAATATTTAGATGTTTTGTTTCATATGATATCCCAAACTGGTTTATTTCACAGGCTGAATTTACTGAATTAATCCATTATGTGACTGTCATCCAATTATTTTTCTGTCAACCATTCCAATAGTGTGAACATTTCCAATAACGCTAATATCTTTGAAAAGTTTGATGTACTTTGTCTTTTAAAGGGTGCTTCAGAGCAGATAAGAAACCAAATACATATTTAAAATGTAAATACTGTATTTCACATTATTTGGTGCATTTTTCTAATGATTTAAGAGATTAGATGAAAACGACTTTGGAAGCTATTGTTTCCCAAATCTTAGGTTTCATAATAAAAGAAGAGGTAAACACAGCAAATTAAGAATGCTTTCTGACTGGGTGCAGTGGCTCATGCCTGTAATCCCAGGACTTTGGGAGGCCAAGGTGGGTGGATCACCTGAGGTCAGGAGTTCGAGACCAGCCTGACCAACAAGGTGAAATCCTGCCACTACTAAAAGAATGCAAAAAAGTAGCTGGGCGTAGTGGCAGGTGCCTGTAGCCCAGCTACTTCGGAGACTGAGACAGGAGAATTGCTTGAACCCGGGAGGCAGAGGTTGCAGTGAGCCAAGATTGCACCACTGCACTCCAGCCTGGACAATGGAGTGAGACTCCATCTCAAAACAAAAAAATGCTTTCTGTATGCATAAGACTGTAGATGTTATTAAGAGAGTAAGATAAAAAGAGAGGAAAGAAAGAAATCAAAATGAAAGAAAGCATCGTCCTGGCTCTCCAGGAATATAGACAACAAAATGAAAGCATAGTTGTCTACCTTATCTGTCTATAGAAAAGGAAGAATAGAACTATGATTTCATGATCAAGGGAAATACAAATTGAACAATTTCAAAGTATGCATTTAAATACTAAAGAGGGGCTAGGCGCAGTTGCTCACGCCTGTAATCCCAGCACTTTGGGAGGCCAAGGTGGGCAGATCACTTGAGGTCAGGAATTCAAGACCAGCCTGGCCAACATGGTGGAACCCCATCTCTACAAAAAAAAGAAAAAAGAAATACAAAAATTAGTCAGGTGTGGTGGTGGTGCACCTGTAATCCCAGCTACTCAGGAGGCGGTGGCAAGAGAATTGCTTGAACCAGGGAGGCAGAGGTTGTAGTGAGCCGAGATAGCACCATTGCGCTCCAGCGAGACTCCATTTCAAAAAAAAAAAGCTAAATAGGAGCATATTTGTAAACACCCACAATAATAATGCCTTTTTGTTTTCTAAGGTACAAAGAAGATGATAAACTATAATCACGAAACGTCAGATGAAAACACAAGCCTCCAGGAAAGCTGCAGCCAACCAATTTCACAAGCTTGTTCCAGGAATGCCTGACCCAGGTAATAACTTTGATTCACAACTCAGCCATTAGATAAAGGAGCAATGGAAATTAATCTAATGGACAACATAGTTGCTTGAATTTTTACATCAGAGATGTCTGACTCTCCACCTCCTTAAGGGAAACAGTTCAGAGGCAGTCATACTGACAATCCTAGTACTGAAACCTGTGTTGTCCTTTCACCAAACTTTAAAATGCAAAATGTTTGGAAGACTAACACATAAACTGGCCCCAAACTGGTCAGGATGATTATTTTCCTATATTTTCTTACCATGTTTTAGTCTATCAAAAAGAGCTGTAGTCTGCTTCTGGATAGAAAAAAAGAAGTTTTTTTGACAGACTATCACAAAACAGTTATTTTAGAATAAGCAGTAGATTTTAATCTTAGCAGACTAAGGGTGGCTTTTGTCACACACTTTTGACTACTTAACTTGAAGGCTTTCAAAAGGAAAACATTCAAAAGAACCCCCAGTGAGTCAGCAAAGACTTTGAAAAGATTGTGTATATTTTCTAAAGCATATTTAAAAAAAAACCATGTACAGGGGGAAAGTGTAGAACATGTACCCACAAGAGCTAAATTTAAAAAGTGTGCGTACAGTGAACACATGCGTAGCATATGGATGCGGCTGACGGAAGAGGGCCTGGCCTCCATTCAAGACACCACTCACAGCAGATGCACCGTCATAAATTTGAGCTACACAGCCACGTCCTTGCTGGTCAGGTTCCAGTCAGTTGTCTTCAAATCTAGTATAGTTAATGCACCCTCAAACTCCAGCTTTCATTTGGGTTGGAGGGATGAGAAATTCCTACGTGAAAAAGCCAAATTGCACATATCCCAGACTGATAAATAGTCATTCATTCCCCACCTCTTGTGAGATGTTGGCAAATAAAATCCCTGGCAACTTTTCATTTCCGCGTTTTAGCCTAACAGATTTTGCCCATTGTCTGTCATCTGATTCCAACATACGTCAAGGATGGACAGTCAGACGTGATAGGATTACCACATTTTCTAGTATATTCCTCAAACAAAGTAAAAGGCTCTGAGTATAACAAGTAGTTTACTTTTCCTTTTATGTTCTCCCTCACCCCCCCCAGAAAAGTACTGCATTCATTTATTTGCTGGTGGGGTTCTTGGGTGTTCATTTAAAATAGTGACACATGTGCTTAAACATTTTTAACATATTTATAAAATATGTAAATATTTTACAATTCAAATCAAATGTTTGAATTATCTCTATGTGGACCTAAAGATGCACTAGTTTATTAGAGTTCCCTGTAGATTCATTCAATAACTGAGGACTTCGATGATGAAAGGTGCAATATTTAGCCAAACTAGCAACTAGTAAAATGTACCATCTCCACAAATCAAATAGATGGTCATCTTTGGTTCTCACTGGATGGGTAGAGCAGATGTTGGCAAGGAGGGGTCTGCTTTGCACAACCCTTTAGACAAATAATTTGATAACTTTGGCAGAGCTGAATCTACTAATTTGATTCTTAGAATTCTAGGTAGTGGAACAGTACCAGATGCCTCACAAAATTTTAGCAACCATGTTTAACTGCTCCTCATCACATCCTCTTCACTCCTCTTTGGGGAGCTTCATCTTAAATTAGATGCAGCTGCAGAGTGAAAGATTTCTTTCATGTTCCTATTTAGTATGAAAACAATAGCAAAAATAAACAGTGAATTTCCTAACTTTTAGGAATTCTTCCTTTGGCTTTGACTTTTTTTTTTCCTAATGGGAGAGGGACAGTTTGATCACAGTGCTGTTTTAGAGACCATCTAACAGAAATTCCATGGAGAACTACTCATTTTTCACACTCATCCAGCAAAATTCACTAAATGTGCCTGAGGTGCTCATTTCAAAAATTGCATATAAGCAGGTTATTTTCTCTAATTCTGACAAGTTTCAATCACATATTCAGTTCATTTGATTCATTTTAGTGAAGTGGACGTTAATCCTACCTTATTTAATTTAACTGCTCGAGGAATTAATTTGTCATTTGCTGGTTACTAGGTTTTTAAAGAGAAGGGAAAACACTTGGGAAAAATGGAAGTTTCATCTCTGGCCTGCATTATAGCTTCTGGCATACTTTTAGATACCAACAAGTAATGTCGAAGAAGCAGCTGTTAAAATGATCCTGCTTAATAGCCATAAAGAAATGAAGACTTCCATAGAGAGCTTTGCAAGTATACCTGGCATGTGTATCATTGTCTGAGTTATTTCCAGTTGGTAATCGGAGAAGTTTAATTCTCCTTTCTCTCTTTCTTATTCTCCTCTTCCCCCTGAGTTTTCTTTTCTTTCGTCATGGCCTTGCAAGTTGCAAAGAATTGCTGTTTTTCAGCTCCCTACGGTGAAATAATGCAAAACAGGAAGTCTACTCTCTCTGTGTCATTTGGGATAACTTATTGTGGAGTTTGTTTCTTGAGTTACATTTGCATATAGATACAAAGTGATCTAAAGGGCAAACCAAGAAAGGAAGGCCTAGAATAGCCTGTTTGTCTGGGGCCTTTTAAATCTCTGCAGTCATTAATACTTTATCGACTACCTGTGGAATAAGAAATGTCTGGGTTGGCTGCTTCTAGCAAAAAAAGTTCCTTTTCCCTTCAGATCAGTCTCAGTGGAGCTGCCATTTCCTGCTGACTGAGAGACAAGATGGAGTGCCAGATTGTCATTTAGTTTAACTCCATGGAAATGAGGCAAGGGAATCTGACCATGACTAAACTTTGCATCCAGCAAAAGAACACAGGGCAATCAAGGAAACCTTCTGCTGGCCCTGGGAGGACAGACTGCTGGTAGGTTTGCAAGATGTGTTAGGCTGGCAGAGGGGAAGTCCCCAGGAACACAGAGGTGACAAAAACTCTTAGCATTTATTCATTCAGACCTTTCATTATGCCAGAATTGAAGCACTTCCTTTAAGGAGGCTGCCCTAAAGAGATGGCTAGCTTTTATGACCAAGAAGAGGTAAACAGAAAAACAGACCCACCAGCCACCAAAGGCACGACCAATCACAATGCTCAGGAGAGGTCTAGCACAACTCAAACTCAACTATTCCATCTGTTTTCCTGACTTCTCTGTGTGTATGTGTACACAGGTGTGTGTGTGTGTGTGTACGTACGTACGTGTAACACACCTTTGTTAACCTCAGCTTTGCAAGTCTCTTGTTCAATTGCCTGTATAGGACTTAGAGGAAAGAGAAAGAAACACCAAAATAAACTTCTTTCTTTCTCTCTTTCTCTCCAGTGCTTAATTCTTAAATTGCCAGGTTTAAATGAAACAATTTTAAAAGGCAAATTTACTTAAAGCAATAATAGCAACTTAAAAAATTTGTAAAGTATCTTTTAAAATTCATTATAAAACCACATTTTACATGTCAATTTTGCAGATAGATTTTAAAAATTTCTGGGTTCCCCAAAACATTTTTGTTTGTCTTCTCACATTTGCTCATGATATGAGTAATATGTGTAGCCACAATGTGGACCTAGCCGTTATGTGCACCTAGCCCTAAAAGTGTATAATGTGGTTCAAGTTTTGTGGGTTAGATTTTAATTTCCAGAAATTATCTTGCTCAGAGTCCAGTTTCTGTTAAGCACCAATTTAATTTCTTGCAGGTCTCAGGCTTGTGGCTTCATACTAATTGTCAGGCTGCTGGTGTGGTATTGATTAAGTAGTTATATTCTTAAGGACTTTTCAACTAATAACAAATTTATATTTATTAGTTAGCTGGACAGAATAGGAATACTCAGCATGTTGTCCAAGTTTCAGTTTAGCACTTCATTTTGCAAACTCTTTTACACTGCTATTTTTGCAAATTATTTCTCACAACAGTCCTGTGAGATAGGCTAATGATGTTATCCAGAAGCTGTCTAGGTTTTAGAAAGGGTACATGATGTGTCCTGAGACAGCAGCAGAGCCAAGATTAGAATTCGCAGTTCCTGGGGCTCAGGCAGCCATGCCTTGCCACCCATTCAATATGTCCACCCCCTTATTTTAATTATATTAAGTTTCAGTGCCACTGCAGAGTAACAGATTAAGAGAAAATAACAGCGTTCAAATGGAAATGGAGTTCATGTCCATAAAGGCAGAGCCTGGCGTTTAGGGGCCTGAGTGGTGCCTCTTGAGGGGCTGGATGCTCCATTTTCTCTGGAGTAGCCTAGAGAAATGGCTCCCTGACAAGCCCTTTCTAGTCCTCTTCTGAGTCAGGCTGTTTGAACTGAAAGATTATTTAGTTCAACTCCTTGTTTTGCAGATAAGGAAAGCCAGGTCCGGAAAGATTGAGTTTTGCCCAGGGCCTCAATGCAAAATTAGGTCAGTGTCATGGGAAGCACCCAGATCTCCAGATGCTGCCTTCAGCACTCTTTTCCCTGAACTACCCTATTTCTCAAGATTGGCTCCTTCCTGAACCACTTTCGATGGAGTTAGAAAGTGAATGGAGGTAACAGCCAATGCTTATGCAGTGTGAATTTGGGGTTTTTTTTTAATTTAAAGGAAGCCTAGAGCTTGACATAGCTTGTAGGCAGAAGATGAGGTTAAAGTAAAAGAACTGATAAGTAATATTTTCTATTTCACTAAGTAATGTTACCAGCTGTATAATGAGAACTATGTCTACAAAATCTAGAATGAATTGGAGACTTCAAATTGTCACTGCAGATAGCTAAACCAAACTAATTATCCAGGCTTTAAATAGAACTTTGTGGTCTAAATGAGAAAGAGAATAATTTGTTCTCTAAGTAAATTCTATTTCTTAATTGTGAGAAACACACATTCACCTGTCCAAACCCAAAGGATGGACTCAGAGACAGGAACAACAGTGGAAGCAAGACTTTTAATGGCGGTCTTGCAAGATCAGGTGTCTGGTAGGCAGGCACATATGGGGCAATTACAGCAGGTAATTTATCTCCTAGCACGCAAGCCCCTCCCCTACTTCCTCACTGGTTGAGTACTATGGGGTTACAGTCTTCCCTGAAATTGCCCAAGTTTCATTATTCCCCTTACAAGG